AACTAGTTGTAACCCTTGTTTCACACCTAAGTTCAACACATGTGCTGCACAACGATAATGTGAAAAATTCATTAATTAGAGTTCAATATTAAGGGCATTTGCAATTTCTCTTCCACATCCAACCATTAAAGATCCATTGTCAGTAGTTAATGCAATGATTTTATTAGAGATGTTGAATTCATCTAAAACATGTACAATTTCTTGTGCAATGTTTTTTCCAGTATGTCTATTAGTAAAGAAATGATGTCAAGGAGAAAGCTACAGAGATGCCAGTTTGAATTTATATAATGTATAGTAATTCCTAAATAAGCTTCCTGGTTCATAGAAGTCCACATGTCAGCTGTCAATGAACACCGCCCCTCAATTTGATCAAGATCATTATAATTTTGGTCCTTCTGGTATTGAATGCATTGGTTATAATGTCTTTTATTTGAGGTCTTTCAGGAACAATATAACGAGGACAGAAGTAATTGATGAATTTGCTGAAATAAGTGTTGTTAACAACAGTAAATGGCTGAGGTCACAAATTATCCATTGAGCAAGATATTTAGTATGTTCATTTTGTTCCTGCTGATTAAAAGGATCCATTCTGGTTATGGTACTCTGTTTCTTGGGAGGTGCATATAATTGATGTAGCTTGAGGTGTTTACGAAGGGATGTCACACTTGTTGTTAATTCATACTTTGTTGAACATGTTTTACAAACATTATGTTCAGGTGCAAAGGATGGCCGTTTGTAAAAATATTTCCACACAGTACTTTCTTTTGATGAGGTAGAAGCATCTGATGTTTCCGACTGCACATCAGTAAAGACATGACTAATTGATTCATCAGGGTTGATGTAAAAATTCTCTCGGTGGAAGTTGCCTATTTCTTGATCATCAAAGATTTCTTGTATTTGTTCATCCATTTTTTTTTTAAAAAAGGTATAAATTTATATGTTTATTGATTTTATTACATTAATATTAATTATAAATATTAAAACAAAGGTGAGAAAACTTCTGTTTGGTTTAGATATCAGCTGTAAATGTTCAAATAATTATCACAATTATTTACAAACGTTTAGATATTTATTTAACACTGTTAATGAACTGATGATTTTATTGTTGTTAAATTATATAAAAGTTATCTTTATTTGTTTGAATTTTACATCTTTAAATAATAAAAATACAATTCTTAAAATACAAATATAAATCATAAAGAAATAAAGAAATATATAATCTATATATTGTATGGAAGCTTATAGACTCCTGGAAAGTATTGATCATAATTAAAGATAACTTCATAATTATAAATAACATAAATAAAATAATAATATGATTATGTTCCCCACAATATAACATAACAATATAATATCCACTTTTCTTAATAAAAATAATGATGATAATAATAATAATAATATGTATAATTCTTCACTAAAAATCCCGATTGCCAAGTAACTTAAATTAAATGGGTTCCATGCTAACAAAAAGATAGTTCGGGTTCAAGAACCCCAAAATGAGTTGTTGATACCACTATATTCTT